CTGGACACACATTCCTTGCTCTGGAGAGACGGAGATGGATGGCACGGAGCTGGGACGGAGGGGGGACCCTGGAGCGTGGCGGGGGTGGGGGGGTGGGGGTGGGCAGCTTTTCCAGCTGAGGGCTCTGCTGCCTTGAAGAGCAGGGTGGGAAAGTGAGTTTAGGAGTCCAGGCCGTGCCAGGCACAACAAAGCCCACTTCGTCTCAGCCTCAGAGCCGAGCTAGGCCTGCCCAAGGCCTGCTTAGGGACCCAAGGACCAGCCAAGAGCAGACCTAGGAGACCCTGGAAATACAAGCCAAAGAGAGAGGGCCACCTCCAGGGCAGGGAGCTCTGGCCCACCCTCCTCCACAGGCTGCCCAAAGCCAGTGCCCTTGAAGGGGGAGGGCGAGGGGAGGGGGTTGAGCTCTGGGGCTCAGGCCCTGCGTGGAGGCCTGTGGGGATGTGGGTTTGGCTTCTTTCTGAGGTGGCCCCAGGTGACAATGCTTTGCCTCAGAAACCTGGACAAGACAGCAGTCGGTGAGGAGCAGCAGGAGACACCCCCCCGCAAAGGTGGGGAGTGCGGGTGGGCCAGGCTCCTGCTGGTAATGCCTCAGCCCCAGCCTGTGTCCCCTGACCCCAAGTTTCCCCGATTTAATAGCCTCTCAAATGCTATCCCAGGAAGCCAAGCTCCACTGCCCCACCCCACCTCAACCCTTTCATGAAGGCCAGGAGGGGAGAAGGGAAGATGGCCATCTTAGTGGAAGGCTGGGCCACCCCAGGAATAAGGCCTGGAAGGCAGCTGGGACCCCTGCCTCCTGGAAGACTGCTGCCCCCAGCATCTTTTCTCCCTCCTCCAGCCTCCCTGGGACCGAAGGCCTGAACTTCCTGGGATAGTCCTCATTGATTTTGCCCTTGCCCCCCAAACCATGCTGAGCCCTGGGCATCACTACACCCTCTCCAAAACAGCTTGTCGCAGGAGTGGCATCAGCCCTGACCTAAGTCTTCATGGGCATTTAGGAAAAGGGGACTTAGGTCCTGCATTGCGCCGGCTCTCAAGTCCATTTCCTGGAGCTCGGCCTGTAGCGTCCAAGATCAGGGTCCGAGTTCCCAGCCAAAAGGGACTCAGCTTGAGCACAGAGCTCCCTTGCCCACCGTCCAGGTATTCTCCAGGGTTGGACCGTACCACCTGTTGGGTGGACACTGGCTCTGGGCGGAGGGTAGGAGGGATGCGCCTCTTTCACTTGTGGGAGGGGACGTGATGTGGCAACCCCCCCCACACACACACACACACAAGCCTTACATCACTGGGTAGGTTTATTTCAGTCCTGCCATGGCTGGCTTTTCTCCCAGTAAAACACGAGGCTCCTTAACTGGTGGTGGACCCAGGGGAAGGCAGGCCAGAAGGCCTGGCCTGGGCTTCAGCTTGGAAGTCAGACAGAATCCCTAGGACAGCTGTCCAGTAACTCTGGGAACACCAGGAGTACTTCCCTCGGGGTTCTGGAAGGGAACTTCTCCAGAGACACCTGCGAGAGTCCATTGGCTGAATGCGATTTGCAAAAATAGAGGGAGGGCTGGCCGAGTGGCCCAGTTGGTTAAGAGCTCGCTCAAGAGTTTGAGCTCTGAGCAACAGCGGTTCGAGTCCCCGCCCAAGCTGAGCAGCCGCTGAGCTGCCAACAGGTGGCAGGATGGCTCAGCTAAAAAAAAAAAAAAAGAAAAACAAAAATAGAGGGAGATTGGGGAGGGGCGTGGTTAACAGGTAGGGGCGTGGTTAACAGGTAGGGGGCGTGGAAAGAGCACCAGCTATGGGCCAGAGACAGTCTCAGAGAAAGGAACTGACTTGTGTACAGAGGGAAGGGTGGGGGCCCGCCACGTCTGACCCCCACGTCTGACCCCCACGTCAAGGCTCTTTGGGGAGAGAAGAAGGTATGGCGGGGACAAGTGACCAGCCCTCCTCGGCCCCAAGGCCTGGTTGGGGTCACCTTTGCCTTCCTCCCGCTGCCGGCGCTCTGCTCTGGCGGTCAGACGGCGCAGAGACAATGGCGCTCTGTCCCGGCGGGCGGGCGCTCGGCCGGCCACTCATCCCGAGGCGGCGACCGCCTCCCCCACCCCGCCCGGCCGTCAGCCCCTTTCAGGCGGTGGAGGCCGGGCGGCGGCGGAGGGGATTCTCACAGGCCGTTGGCATTTGCATAGCCGGCTCAGCCGCCGGGAGACATTGGCCGGCATTGTTCCCGGAGGTTCCTGGCGGGCGCATGGGCCGGGACGCGGGGCAGCGCGGGGACCCGGCTGCAGGCGGGCGGGCGAGACAAAGGAGAGGGGCGCAGAGCCGGGAGGCGGCGGGTGGGGAGACCCTGACAGTGGGAGAGAAATATCGGGGTGAGGTGGGGGGACAGGGCCGCCGGGTCTGTCTGCCCTGGACGGCCACCGCCCCCCACTTCGGACACCCACGCCGTGTCTAATTCCCCCCCACCCCCCGCCCCGTGGGGCCGCCTCCAGCCGTGATGTGAATCCCAATGGCGGGGGTGGATCTCAGGCCTTTCCCAGGCGCAGGGGCTCAGAGCGCCAGTCCTCCAGAGGTCACCGGAGCAGCTCCTAGCTCCTGGCTGAGGGGTCTCGTGTGCCTCCCGTCCAGCTGTCCGGCCAGGCCCTGTTACCCACACACTTGTGCCGGTCCAGAACAACAGCCACTTCCAGAGCCCTGCTCTCAGTGCCTCTGGCTCTGCTGGCTTCGCACTGACCCCGGTGCAGCCAGCCTCCCCCCATCAGTAGGGTCCCGTGTGCTTGTCCATCATTGTCCCCAGAGCTCAGGCTTTGGGGCTGGACAGAGTTCATGAGTGGGCAAGTGTCTGATTGTCCTGCATTCAGAGGAATAATGGTGGTGATCAGAGGGGCTATCCCTGAAGGGCAGAGGCCTCTGTCCTGACGGGCTGAGGAAGGAGCCATTGCACCCTGTTGACCCAGTCTGAATAGATGGGCCACCGTATTGGGGACCAATGGTGCTGAGCCGGGAACTGGAACTACGGAGAAGACCAAGGAGGGGCTTGCTCCTGGCCCACAGAGGGCTCCGAGGGTCCCTGCCTGTCCTGCCCTCTGAGCTCCCTGGCTAAAAACAATGATGGGCTTGAGCACCCCATACCCAGACTACGAATGAGGGCTCAAGTGCAGTTCAAGGAACACTGTATGGGCAGCAAACCAGGGCGCTGCCGTTAGAGGTAAAGTTGGGGGAAGGAGAGAAGAAAATGCAGAGTGAAAAACCAAGGGCCTGTTTTAGGAGAGGTCAGCCCTGGACAGAGAGTTCCCTGAGCTGTGGGGCCCAGCGCTCAGCAGCTTCTCCCAGGCCACGGGAGGACTCACGGGGGGGACAGAACTTGGAACTGCCTGGCTACAGGAGATGCAAGGCCATCTGGGCTGTCCTTTGTCAGGGACCTCTTGGTGGGCTATCCTGGGACCTGTGGCTGTTCCTCCCTGGGCAGCTGGCTGGGTAACCGCCCCTCCCCCGGCCCCTCCGGGCTCAGTTGTCCCTTCTCGGGGATTGAGATGTGAGCGCTCAGCAGCCTGGGCTGGACCAGCCCATGTTTTCAGGGCTGGAGGAGGAGGTTTGGTTGTGGTAAAGGAGGAACCAGTAGCGGAGAGGGTCAGGGCAGGGAAATGGTGGGTTGAATGAGTAAGTGAATATTCACAGCTTTCCCAGGCAGGATGAGTTGGGCAAGGCAGGGTCTCATCCTGTCCTGGACTCCCCCCTTGTGGCTTCCAGATCGCTGAGGACTGCTTGAAAGGGGGGGGGCTCGGTGGCTGAGCAGGTCAGCAGGACTGGGAGCTGAGGCCCCAGAAGGCTGAACAGAGCTGGGACCTCTGCTCTCCCAAACTCCCTCCCTCCCAGCAGGGGCAACCGGACAGGGGACCCCTTTGCAATGTCAGCAGTCAGCTTTCTGCCTCAGCACCACGATGCCCCCCGACACACCTCTCCCAGCGACACTGGGCAGGGGAGGCTGCTGGGGTGGGAGAGGGCTGGGGTGGGAGCATAGCTGGGCTGTGGGCAGGGGATGGTTTCCATTCAGCACTTGTCCCTCAGCCTCTCTCCTTGTCCCCTCCTCCCCCCAACTCTATGCTTGGCCTCTTTGCCAACCAAACTCAGTCCCTCCAACCACAGTGAGGGTGGGGCCTGATGGGGCACCTTCTGCCCCCGTCCTAGGGCCAGGCCCCAGAAATCCCTCCACTGACTTCTTGGGTTCCTAGGTCTGAATGGGTTTTGGTCTTGAGGGACAGTTCCGCAGTCATGCTGAACTCCTGCCGGAGGCCTGGGGGAAGGAGGAGGGGGGGCAGTCCCAGTCCATTGGGAACGGAGCTCCAGTCTCCTGGAGGGGCCGATACTCTATTGCCTGAGATCTAAAACTCCTGACATGTAGTGGTGGCATGAATGGTGGTGAGGTGCAGAGCTGAAGCAGACAGGAAGGCGGTTAGGCCCATAGGAAGGACTTCCATTCTTAGTTGAGGCTGGAGCGGCTTGAAAGCCACGTCTTCCTCTGCTGGGTCTGGAGTGCCCTCTGGTGGCCAGATGACTTGAGGCTGTCGGAGGCCCTGGGCCTGTCTTCCCCCATCCTTCTCAGTCAAGTGTCATGGGCTTGTCCACTCCTCAGATTCAGGACAGGGACAAACGGTGGTGCCTGGGTGCTAGCTGCTTCCAGCCTCTGAGGAGTCAGTGGCAAAGAACTCCTTGTGTCCCTCTTAGGCCCTGCGGGGACCCTCTTCCTACTCTGCTTAGAAGCCACCCAAGTTGAGGGTCAGAGCAGCAGCGGTTCTGGGCTAGGAAGAACTTTGCAGCAGCCTGAGCTGTCCTGTAACAGACACAGGCTTTCTGGGAGAGAGAGAGCTCCCTGTCTCTTCAGGCAAGCAAGCCCAGGCTAGTAACCCGCCTGGTAGAACACAGCATCCTTGAGGGAGCTCAAGGACACAGGGAGGAGGGATGTCCCCACCCTGAGGTTCTAACACCATGAGTTAGAGGGTGAGAGGAACTTCCCGAATTCCCAGCACACACACGCAAAAAAGGCAGTCAGAGTCCGGATGACGGCGGAGTTTATCGCCCTGGTTCTCACTGTGGCTGTGTGACATTGGACCAGGGGGTCAGCAGTCACTTGGTGCCTCACTTGTAGACAGGGGGAAGGGCAGGGGTGAATGGCAATGAGGCTGCTGGGAGCCCCCCCCCAACACCCCAACACCACCACCCCCGCCAAGGCCAGTTACAGAGCTGCCTATGGACAGGAGGCTTCCACTGACTCATGACTTCTTCCTGCAGCAGGAGGGATGGGAGCTAGAAAAGGACTTCCCAATGGTAGCCCGTCTTCATCTTCTAAAAGGGAAGCGTCCTCTCCAGGGCTGGAAGCAAGTTAGGCCTGAGTGTCCGGTTCCTCCACCCTCAGAGGTCCCTGGGCTTCGTCCTCATGCTCCCCGGGCACCTGGAGGCCAGGGTAGGAGAGCAGGTGGCGGGGTAGGTCCTGGGGGCCACAGCTCAGGGGTGAACCCCACAGGACCATGAACAAGCAAAGCAGGGAAGAGGCAGGCTGGGTCACAGGAGGTGAGGCGGGGGAGGGGGAGAGGGGGAGAGGGCTCTGTGGGCCTGAGGGGCTGCCGCGGGGTCTTACCTCCCAGTACAGCTGGTCCTCGTAACACTTGGATTCCGGGGGGGCATCCAGGAAGGGCAGCTTCAGGAGGAGCCCTGGTGGTGGGTGGGAGGAAAGGATTTGTGAGGCTTTCGGCCACCCCCAGTGCTACAGGGCACAGAGGGGCTGGGAGGCCTGGGGCCAGTGTGATGCCTAGCCCAGGCAAGTCGCAGCTGCATTTGTCATGCACCTACTGTGTGCCCGGCCCTGTGCAACACGCTTGACAGTTCTGGAGTTATCACAGTGCCCCGAAGGTGAACGTGATCCCCACATTACAGAGAAGGAACTAAGGCTCAGAGAAGTTAGGTAACACACTCAAGTTTGCACAGTCGGTAGTAGACCAGAGTGATTCTGTCATGAACCATAGCTGCGGGGCTCTCTGCAGCCTCCTATCCAGGAGGGGTGCAGAAAGTGTTTATTGAATGAATACGTAATTAGATACATGAACGAACGGAACCTTGTTTGGGAATGACAATCTCGCGTTGAGAGCAGGGGTCCTGAAGATAATCCCAGGTTTTATTTTGAAGGCCCAAAGGACTAAGGCCAGACAGCAGGAAGGACTGGTCAGTGGGCTGTCTGCCTCAGTTGAAGGTTTTGTTCTGCAGTCGAATGGTGAGCCAGGCCCCTTGGCTCCCTACCTACCCCTGTCCTCAACACAGACAGAACTCGCCACCTGTTCAGGGCTTCAGCCTGAGGTTGGACTGCCCTCTAGTGGATGGAGAGAGCAGCACAGGGAAGCCTCGGCCCCCAGCCCACTCCGGACTTCCACTTGGCACCAGGAGGGAGCAAGTGCCCACTTGCTCCTCCCCACCTGGAGTCGGCTACCCCTGAAGTCTACAACCCCACCCTGCACAGGCACAAAGTAGGCGCTTGATAAATATGAGTAAAGGAATGCTAGAGGGTGGGGTCCAATGGCTCTTCCTCTGGAGAACCCCCTTCCTGTCTTCTGCCCTCCCTGGAATCCTGCCAGCCCCCGACCCCCACCAAGGTCACTTACCTCCAAGGCTCCCGCCCACGATGGCAAACATCAGTGTGATAAACAGCCCAAAGAGCTGGTACACGGCCTGAGAGGTGGCACTGCGCCGGACCTCAGCTATGAGTGGAAACACGCTCTGTAGGCTGCAGGGAGGTTGTGGGAACACAGGGGTGGCACGCGGAGCTGTCACACAGTGGCCGAAGGGACTTCATGGGGACCCCCGCCAAGCTGACTCTGGTCCCCAGGCATTGGCTCCAGTCCGGCCCACAGCCTGGAAACCCCTCTCACCCTCGTGTGACAGGAAACCCACACGGTTTTCAAGGCTCAGTGTGAGTGTCCCTTTTGCCGGCCCTCTCGTCTGAGCCCTGATGTACAAATGTGGGTCCTGAGGGTCATTATCTCTTACCCTTTAGTAACAATATGGGTGAATGAATGAGGATAGACACTGCTTTGGCTGGTGGTGCACAAAGCGGGGAGAGCGTAGGGGAGTCACTCCAGGGGACAAGGACTTCAGTGTGGGTCGGTGAGGGGAACTCACCCATCTCCGTAAGCTTCATGGGTGGCCAGTGCAGCCACAAGGGCCCCCAGGAGGGCTCCCAGGACTCCAGGCATCCCGTGAAGGTTATGGACGCCACACGTGTCTTGAACTTTGAATTTTGACTCGAGGAAGGGCTGGAGCACAAGACAACAATGAATCCTGGGTGGGTGCCCCTCCCACCCCGGGCCTGTTGGGGAGGTGAGAAAAAGAAAAGGCCCTGAAGACCCCTGTTTTGCCCAGGGCTAGAGAGGCATCTGTACCGTGAAGAACTTGTACCCCAGCGTGGAGACAGTTCCAGCCAGGAAGCCAGCTGCCAGAGCCCCAAAGGGTGTCAGCATCATTTCACTGGATGTGCCCACCACAACCCCTCCGGCCAGCGCTGCATTCTGGATGTGGACCTAAGGGAGCAGAGGGTAGCAAGGCCTTGGAGGCCCTTTCAAATCGTCACACCCACACCTAACCCAGCACAGTGGTGCCCACTGCTTCTGGAAGTCCCTCTGCCATCTAACCTCTAACTTTCCCGCTATTGCCTCTCACTCTGATAACCCTCCCCTCCACCCCCCGCCCGCCTCTACGTGCCCAAGCCCGTGCCTGTGATAATCCGCCTCGTGGGGTGTCAGACCTCTCCCCGCTCCCAGGTCCTCCCCTTGTTCTCCCACAGCCCATACCATGTCCAGCCGCCCATCCCCCCCGACAAGGGCCGACAGGGCGAAGGTGCTGAGTGTGCTGGCGGTCAGGGAGTAGTACGTGTTGAGGGCTGTCCGATGCTGCCCGTCTCCCAGCGTAGTGGGCGCAGAGTTGAAACTAGGCCAGAAGATCCACAGGAAGATGGTCCCTGGAGGGCGGGCGGGCGGAGTGAGAGGGAGGGAGTGGCTCCCCACGAGCTACCAGCCGTGTAGCTGGGGGCAAGTCACCTCCTGCCAGCAGCCTCAGTGTCCTAGTCTGTAAAGTGGGGATAGGAATTCCTACTTCATTATGCGAGGACTAAAGGAGGGGGTGTAGGGGACGGGCACAGCCCAAGGCTGAGCATAGTAAGCGCTCTACAAACAGTAGCACTGGCATCCCTGGCACAAAAGGGAGCCAGAGATTGAAAACCACAGAGGGTTGAGAGTCTAAATATCAGGAGGAAAGAAAAGACCAAGTGCCTGCCCTGTATGTGAGGCCCTGAGCTGGGTACTTGAGAGATGTCTCAGGAAAGGCATTGGTTTTAGAACCTCGACGACCTCCGAGAGGGTGGACCCTGCAGTGTGCAGGAGAGGGCTTTGCCTGCAAGCACCGGGTGGACCAGGGGTAAGAACTGGGGGCTCATACGCCCTGCTGCCCACGTGAGGTTCCCAGGTCAGTCCTGGAGCCAGGGGACAAAGTGAGGGGCAGGCTGGGACCCTGTAGGGTAGAGCCAGTATGGCAAGGAGGCTGCAGGGGCTGCCCCCTCGTCCTGAGCGTCCTTGGGTGTGCCACGGAACCTCTCCCTGCACCCCCGCCATCTGCTCTGCAGCAGAACCCCCACACTCACACATGCGTGTTCTGATGGGAGGGTTTGGGAGGAATCAGGGAAAGGCTGGTGTCCTGCGGGAAGGCACTGGGAGGCAGAGGAGAGCTGAGAATGCAGGAATCTTGGGGAAACCTTCGGACTTGAAGCCAGACTTATCTGGGTCTCAAAGGGCAAGGAGGCCTCAGCTGCCCTAGGGTTCCGTGTGCTCTATTTCACAGCAAACACGGAGCAAGAAATACAAAACAAGCCTCTCTCTTTAGTGTAAGACTAGGCACGCAGTCACTATTCAATACTGCCCACCAAAAAGTAAGTTATCCGTTTCCTTTCCTGTTTACAAAGGTAGAGAGATGACCTGAGGCTGGGGTGCAGGTAGGTGCTTAGGAGAAACAGCTGGTGGTGAGGGTCACACCCTACTGCCCCCAGGGGTGACCCAGGACCTCCATCCCCAACCCCAGTGCAGGGGCTTTTGGGAAAAATGCCCAGAAGGAAGTGTCCTAAAGAGGTGGGAGGCAGCACTGGGGACAAAGGCTGGGGTAAGAGATGGGAGAAGCCAGGAGAAAGTGAGGAGGGTGAGGGCCGTGTGCCAGGCTCAAGGGCCTGCTTTCTGACTTGTGGGTTGCGGGCCCTGGAGGGCTTCGAGTGGGGACGGCCCCTGGGGATGGGTCTCAGGCCTGTGCAGACCCAGGGATGACTTCTAAGAACCCGTCTAAAGCTATTGAGAAGGAGCACAGGTCTGGGGCTCTCACGGGAGACTCCTCATGGGAAGGGCGTCCCCCACCGGAACCCCAATGACCACAGGCAGCGCCCTGAGACCTGGCCTGGGCATGGTCCTCTCTGGCCCATCTCGGGGGTTCCTGGAACCAACCCCCAGCTCACTCCACCCCACCCCACCCCACCTTGGAGACCTCACCGATCATGGCAAAGAGGTCGGAGTGGTAGACGGAGCTCAGGCGATGCTTGCTCTTCTCCAGCTGCGGCCTGTACAGGACCCGCGACAGGGCCAGCCCGAAGTAGGCGCCAAACGTGTGGATGGTCATAGAGCCTCCTGCGTCCTTCACCTGGGGGCCCAGCGCTGAGGTGCAGGCGCAGCCCTGCCAGCCCCCCCTCCCCCCGCCCCCAGGGCCTGGCCACCCCCCAGCCCTCATCCTAATCCCCCTCCAGACTCACCCCCAGGAGAGTAAGCAGCACAAACTCATTGATGCCAAACAGCGCCACCTCCAGCAGCGCCATGAGCAGCAGCTGGGCGGGCCCCGTCTTGCCCAGGACAGCCCCAAAAGAGATGAGCACAGCGCCCGCACAGAAGTCAGCATTGATCATGCTGGGGGGTGAGAGGGGGGTGAGAGGGGGCCAAGACAGGGGGCCCTGGGGGGAGGGGTCAGGGGAGGAGCCAATGAACCCCCCACCCCCCACCCGCCTAAGCGCCTCCCTGGTGGCCTGGTAGGTCACCTCGCCTTTTGTAGACGGGGAAACCCAGTCTCAGGGAGGTTCTGGCACGTGGTGAACGAAGCCCATGGCAGGTGGAACAACCGGTCTTGAACCGGGAGCTCCGCCAACCCAGCCCTTCCCATGAAGCTGTCTGCCCTCCCAAGAACTGGTGAGAAGCAGGGGCCTGAAGACATGGAGGGGTGTGGCTGAGGGTGTGGGCCGGGCAAGAGCGGGCAGAGCACCTGAGAAGCCAACTGACTGGCGGGAAAGCCTGTGCAGGGAGCAGGTGTGAAGGGCAGGCCTTACGCTGGGTCCGGTGGGCTGGGGCCTCCCAGCTAGACCTGGGGGAGGGGGGGGGGACAGGGAGGCTGCGGCTGCCCACCTTTCCACACCGACGTGGATGTGGCTGTCGTGGAAGGAGTGCAGGAAGCCCTGGACGAGCGTGGACCACTGCAGGGCCAAGGCGGCCAGGAGGAACGTGAAGCCCACACTGCTGAAGCCGTAGCGCTGCAGGAAGGCCATGAGGAAACCGAAGCCCACGAACACCATGGCGTGTACGTCCTGGAAGCCTGCGGGCACGGCAGCTGCTCTGGGCGCTGCTGCCAACCCAGCAGCCACCCTCACGGCCCCCGCCTTTCAGCAGCCGGGCCGCCTTGAGATGGAGCCCAGCCGGTCAATCGCCCCAGGCACCTGTGCAGAGCTGGCCAGCTCGGGGCAGTGGGACCCAGACCATCCCTGCTGTCCCCATGTCAGAGCAAGGGAGGAGAGCCTTCTCTTGCTCTTTGATGCCCCCGTCATTTGCCCTATCCCTGGTCTCTTACGACCCCCTGTGGAAAAGTCCAACCTGTGTGTCTCCTCCTGCGGGCCCTGCCCTCCCGTTCTCAGATTCTCTTCCCCTCCAGGCTTCTCAATTTTCCCTTTCTGCTGGAAAGCCCTTCTTGATGTCTGACCTCCATTCCTCATACTTCAGAATCTATACCTCTCCATTCTGAGGATTTTACACTTAAAAAAATAATTTACGAAATGGCTTTAAATTGTTAGCGGAGATTACCTCAGGGAGAAGGAATTGAAGGGAGGGGCAGGGCTGCTGCCCCCCCCAACTCCCACCCCCACATACACTCCAGGGCAAATCATGCCCCTGGAGTTATGCAACATGGTGCTTCTGGGAAGCAGGCTTTCACTTCTTAGCCTGTTGCTTTCTATAGTTTGACTTTTTTAATTGTATAGGTGAATTACTTGATTTTTTTTTCAAGTGTCAATGGGGTTTCTGGGCAGGGAGATTTGGGGTCTTTTCTGCTTGCTTTTTATTCTGTACTATGCATAAAAAAAACCTAAGCAAATACAAATAACATACAGTAATATTGATATTGGCGATGCGATAAACACAAATGGTTTGCTTCCGTATGAGTTCTGTACCCCTCCCCACCTGCTTGTAAATAGGGTTTGAAACACAGCCTCGGGGTTGTTCGGTGCACACTCGGGTCTGTACATGGGAAGTAACACATGCTATATACCTTTGCTGTCACTGAAAACACCAGAGAAAGAGGACCATGAGGACACTTGTTATAAATAAGCTATTGAGAAACAGGGTCCCCCATGGCCCTAAACGCGCCCCTTGCAGGGCTTCACATGAGACATTTCTCTTGGGATGACGTGCTAGGAAATGCCACTTCCCCCGAGGAATCGGTCTGCTTTCCCGCACTCATGTGACAGATGTTTACTGAACACTGGTGCGTCAGGCTCTGGGAATGTATCTGTCATCAAGCAGCCACGGTCCCTGCCCATGAGGTCCCTGCCCTCACGGGGAGGGTGTGGAAGACACACATCAAAGAATCCAAGCATCGCACATGGGAGGCTTCCTTGGTTCTGGTGAGGACACATAACTGATCATATTTCCTTCTCTCCTTGGCTGCCCGGAAGCTCAGAGCTGCACTGGACTCGCAGCCCACGGCCCTTACCGTAGCCATTCCTTGTGTGCTGCTTCTCTGCTTTCCTTTTCTTATACACGTGTTTTTGTTGTAAAGGACCTCAGATCTCATGTAGAAAGAGGCAGGTCATAAAGGAAAGAAAATCATGGTCTCCTTCTTTTGTTTAATCTGGAGAAGCACCAGCAAGCTAAAAAGTTATTATTGAACTTTAGAATGTAATCAGTAACTTTGAGAGAAGCAAGCTTTTATGCTTTTTTGTTGCTGTGTATGGATTGATAGGGAGTGAGTTTGCAAGTCCCTGGCAAAGGGTGGGGTGTGTGCTGGAATTGGAGGTCTGCAGCTCAACAGCCAGCCCCAGCAGCCAAGAAGAGTGAGCCTCCCTAAATGTCCCCAACATGGTGCCACTTCTTCTGCCCTGCCCTCTACCCAAACCACCCAGATGTCTCTTCCCTAATCAGTGGCTACAGCCCGCTGGCTCTGATTCCTTCCCCTGGGCACAGGGAGAGATGACAGATGTCATCTCAAAGGCCCGGGAGGCCCGGGTTCCCGGATGTTAAAACACAATAGAAAAGAAGAAGCATCACTTAGCACTCAGCCCACAGCTGAGTCCTTTTAGGCCTCACTGTCTGACTTCCTTTCTCCTTGGGCAAACAATAAAAGGGGTGTCGGGCGGTCAAGTGGCACGATGGTTAAGAACTGGCTTGGGACGCCAGAGGGCCCCGGTTCGGATCCCACATATGAGGGCCAGTGACACTGCCCTCCACAGCTTCTAATTTGTCTGTTCCCCTTCCCCCAATTCCCCAGCACTGTTCCCATCCCCCCAATTCCCCAATAAAAATCTTTTAAAAAAAAAAAAAGGGTGCCATGTCTGTTCTTTTGCCCAAGGACGGCAGGATAACAAAGGGGCCCGGGTCACAGGGCTCCATGCCCATGACGTGCCCAAGCCACTTCAGAACTTGTCTTAAATGGCAATAATATTTACATCTCTCACCCTGGGTTTGTTTGGACTCAAAACTCAATCCCTTGGCCTTTCAACTGGAGTCTATAAACATCAGAAAACCCCCTCAATGGGGAACAATCTACACAGATACTCTCCATGGGCTATGCCAGCCAGAGGCAAGGGGATGAATAAGATGACCCCTCACAGTCCCTTCAGGGGTGCCCCGTGGGGGCAGGATGGAGTCTGGTTGGAGGGAAGAAAAAAACCCTCTAGAGCCACCTATTGACCTTGGACCAGCCGCTTAAGCTCTCTGAGCCTCAGTTGCCTCTTCTGTAAAGTGGGGATATAAGATAAGAGAGGCAGGGAAATGGAGTGGTGAGCTGGGAGGTCTCCCCACAACCCTCCCCCCCTGCCTTTAAGGGGACAGCTGGGGCTGAATTCTCCTGGAAGAGGTCACAAGCCACCCTGATCCTGGGCACACCCCCCTTCCCCACCTGTCCCGAGAAGATCCCCGATTCTGTCTATCCTGAACCCCTCTCCTGGCAAGTAAGTTCTCAGAGGTGTATAGAAAAGGACCTGCCCATATTTTTCTTCTTAGAACTTTTCCTCGTGTTTCCTCCCGTGGCCTCCAGGGTTCCTCCTGCAACCCTGGGCTTTTCCCTTCCTTCTTTGTTTCCATTACTCGCCTCATGGGAAGCTTGTACGTGAGGAAAAGGCCGCAGACGGGTCAAAACACCTGGTTCCAGCCTGGCTAACTTGCTGTGTGATCTTAGGCAGTCACAGGTCCTCACTGGCTCTCTCTCTGCACGTCTGAGAGGAGTGGACCAGATGGGCTCTGAGGGCCTTCCTACAGACACATCCGACAGACCCTCAGAGCAGCCATGCCCTTGGCACAGGCTAGTGCCCCAGCACAGCAGCAGACGCCGAGTTCCCTTTCATCTCCCGAATCAAAGGGTGCCGCTACACCCACTCTGGCCCCATGCCTTCCGTTGGGCACAGGGACAGGTGAAGACCCGGCTCTTCAAAGCCCTGGGCTCCCGGGACCGCACACCTTTCTCTTTCCCAACCTTCCCCCACACCAGGGTCCCAAGTCCACAGGTGTGGAAACCTAGGGCAAAAAAGTGAGGGAGGACTCCCACCGTCATTCCTCTTACTGCAATCTGGGGCGGGCAGCTGTGTCCAAAGAGAGCCCACCGCTGCGACAGAGGGGTGAGAGGCTGGTAGGTTTCAGGAAGACTTTGAAACAAGCAAGGTTTTGGAGGCCTTGACTGAGGCCCAGGGGAGAAGTAAATGGGGGTTCGTGGTGACCCTTGGAGAAGAGCTTACTTCTCTCAGCCTGTTCCTGCCAACTCCCTATCTCGCTGGACAAAGCACAACCCCACGAGTCTGCCATGCCAGCTTCCATGGCTGGAGGAGTTGTCGTTCCCTCTGCCCAGGTCCAAGCCTCCACCTCACCTTCTAGGTCCACAGCACTGTGAGCTTCCTTTTGTCAGGCTGGGGCTGGGAGAGGGGCAGCCTGCCGCCAGCTCTGCATACAAAAAGTAGGGTAGTAATAGCAGGGGATATTTTTTACAGGAGACTCTAACACTCTGGGCCTTGTTTGAATGTAGATCCTTTAAACTGAGGCATCCGTCTCCCCATTGCCCAGATGGGGAAAACTGAGGCTTAGAGAAGCCCTGCCCAAGCGCTTGTGATGAAGTCTGGGAGATCTGGTGTCCTTGGTCCCAGCTGCCCAGGGCCTGAGTCACAAGGCTGGGCCCCCAACCTAGAGGGGAGAGGCTCTGTCCCCAGCAGGGCCTTGTCATCAGGCAGGTGAACTGGGGGGCAGGGAGCTTGGGATGTCTGAGTCCCAGTTCCAGCTCTGCCACTCAGGAAGTGGGTGATCAGGAGCAATTCACAACCCATCGGAGCCTCAGCTTCCTCTCCTGTGAAAGGGGCTGGTGACCCTGCCATGCCTCCTCCTCAGGGCTGGGAGCTGCTGCTCTGTGGTTGGCTGGTAGGTAGTGGCATCGTCTTCTCTCTGACTCTGGGAGGGCCCATGCTAGAGGACTGGGGAAGGGATGCCTGAGCCCCGCTAGTCTCGGCTGCCTTCGTGCTAATACCTGTCATTACCGTCTGCTGCACCCCACTCCTTACCACCCCCCCCACCCTCATTCTCTTTCCTGTGGTCAGGGCGCAGGCTACAGGAAAGGCAAAGTCTCCAGAACAGCCCAGCAAAGCCCAGTTAGGCCAACTGGGAGGTGCCGTAAGGGAGCAGTCAAAGCTGGACTGGGGCTTCAGATCTGGGTTTGAACCCACCAGCTCCCTCAGCTCTGACAGCATGACCTTGAACCAGTCACTTCACCTCTCCGAGACTCAGTTTCCCCACCTTTGTCTACTTCATAGGCTAAATGAGACAACGCACGTGCCGCGCTCAGCACAATTCCTGGACCATGGCAGACACTGTGAAAGGGTGTTTATAATAAGTCTGGGGCACCTTCATCTCAGAGCCAGAGGGTTGCCCACCTAGGGCTAGGTCTGGGCCCCCAAATGCCCCCTCCCAAGACGCCAGGAAGCTTGGGGTCTTTGCTCCCCGAGCGCCCTCACCCGCACTCACTTGGGTAGCGAAAGTAAAATTCATTGTCCGCGTTACTGTGGTTGCCCCAGTGCCAGAGGGCAGCGTCGGTTTCGTGGTCATAGCGGACAAAAACCGCAAAGAGGATGGCGGTGGCGCCCTGGAAGAGGAGGCACAGCAGGGGCAGCAGCAGTCGCCCGCCCGCGGCGCGGCGTGGGGACCCGGCCATGGGACAGGCTGCGAGGCAAGCTCCGGCTCTGGGCTCGCCGCGCGCGGCAGACACACTCGGGGGCGGGCGGAGCAGGTTTCACCAGCTCGCTCACTCGGAGGCCACACCCACGCCGAGGCGCCCTCCGCTGCTCCCAGCTCCAGCCTGGCGAGGAGGGGCGAGACCCGAGGTGGGGCAAGGACTGGGAGGGGTGGGGGCGTTCGGACACCCGGGTCCTGTCTCTCTTGGCCCAGCTGACCCTGGCGCTGTTCCGGTTGGTCCAGCCCCTTGGAAATGACCCTGGAAAGGCACTGGGTGTTCTGCCTGCTGAGGCACGGCGGCGACCCGGTCGGTGGGGGAGACAAAGCGAGTTGACCGGCCCCCTCAAAAAAAAATGGTGTTAGTTTATAAAGAGCGTTTCCCAAGGAATAAGCGACCCTTAAAGGCCCGGCCTGGCCCCTCCAGGGTTAACACAAGAGAGAGTTGAGGAGTTACTCAATCTTTTCCCAGCTGGAAAGCCAGATGGAGACTGGAGATAGAGAGCAGGCTCTCCAGACGTTGATGGTTAACCAGGCTGGTGGGCAGGCGGCAGGCCCCGCAGGTCTGAGCCTCAGCAGCCCAGCCGCACCCCGCGGGCTCCAAGCCTCCTCAGCCTCCCCACTCCCAGTCTGCACCCCACCACAGTCCCCAAGGCCCGGCAGGGGCCACGCTGACACCCGGGTTCCCTGTGCCGCCCAGTGTGGATACCAGGGTCTGGGCTGCCCCAGCAGCTGGACAGAAGGGGAAGCACGGTGGAAGGAGGGCCTCCTCACTTAGGAGTCAAGTCCCTTGTTACACAGTAAGATTTGCATCCCCTGGGGTCCTGGTAGACAGACACCGGGAGGCACTTACTGTGAGCCAGGCTTGGGATATGAACCAGGTGACCCCTCCCTCCAGCAGCCTCTGTCCAGTTGGGAGTCAGACAGGAGGGAACTGAATTACCATTTGGGGTAAATGTGTGGCCCCGGGAAATGCAGAGGCTGCAGAACCCACAGGAGTGGGGTGGAGGGTTAGAGATGGGGAATCGCTTCCTGTGAGGTAATGTCCCCAGGCCGTCTAAGAGGGGCACCCCCAGACTTGGGCAAGTGAAGAAAGGAGAGGGGCCTCTCCAGAAGGGGACCCGCATGGCCGTGTGAGCGTCCGGTGTGTTCAAGAACTGGGGCCGGGGTGGGCAGGCCCCATGGAGGCACATGACCTTGACCTAGAGGCTGCTGGGCCACCTGAGAGCTCTACACGGGTGGAGGGCCTGGCACAGCCGGTCCTGACGCCCGCAGACCACAAGGGGCTTAAAGGAGGAAAGCTGAGGGCCAGTCTCTACACTGCTGCCCCTGTCAGGGGGGGCTGTGGTGTGGGAGGGGCTGCTGGGTGTCTGCAAAGGTGTTCCAGGCCCCCACCTGAAGGGAGAGCTGCTGTTCCCAGGAGATGTGGGCAGGGCTCAGAGGAGCCAGCCACTCCCCAGAGCAGGTGCCTAGCGGGGCTCCTCCTAGGAACAGATGGCCCCTTCTCAGGAATGCGCAGGGACCGAGGTGACCCTCCATCCCCCTTTCTTCCCCCAGTTCACCTCCTCCCCTCACGGTCTGGAGCTCCGGCCCAGCGTTGGCTCTGGGGTCAGCTGCATTCTAGCTGCCCGGCTTCCTGACCTAGGGGCCCAGCCAGCCAGGCATGGGCGGGCAGGGGTCGGCCTCTGGGGAGCAGCCTCAGGTAGTGCGGCTCCTGGCAGGCCAAGCAGTCCTCTGGCCCTTGCTGGCCCCTGACCCCTGGCCCCTGGCCCAGGGCTGTCTCTACTTGGTCAGCAGGATGGCTGTTTTCCAGGTCCTTCCGTGCAGTGGTGGGGGCAGTGGATGTCTGGTCAACAGTGCTTGGGTAATGATTCTTGGATAACTCAGCCTCTGGGTATCCTCCCAGGCCCCGTCTTCAGCCACAGAGAGGCCGCTTGCTTTCAGAGCCCCGTTGGGCGTGGGGGTTGCTCGGGGTTGCCCAGGCAGACTCTGGACAGGCCCTCCGAGGAGAAGCGCCTTCAGGAGCTACAGAGCAGGGAGAGCCAGGGCCGGGCGGCAGGGCCGTGCCAGCGTCTTCTGGGGGCCCCCTCCCCGGTCCCAGCCGCCTCCACCTCTATCTTACCTGTTGCCTCTCTAACTTCCTCGGGCCCTCTGGTTTTCCCTCTCCCCTGTGGCTCAGCCATTCATTCAACTAGTCATTTAGTGCTAATCCTGGGCCAGATCCTGGGGCTATGACCTGAGGTTCTCATCATCACTTGTAATAGGACTGGGTCCTGGAGGCCCCCAGCCCTGGCAGACGTTAACCCCTTTATTTGCTGGATTGTGATGAGGTCTAGAGGGAACCCCTGGAAGGGGCCAGGATAGCTGGGCCGGCCTTTGGAGGGGACACTTGGAGACCTATGGGCCACAGATCTTTACCAACCTGTATGGAAGAAGGTTGATATTTTAACTAGTGGGTACCAGCTGGGATTGCCCTGGGTCCAGCAGAGAACCGGACCCTGACAGTCCTCCATGCCTGAGGGCCCCCTGGCCCGTCCTCCCGCTCTGAGGGCTCTCCGAGCCACCACCCACGTGGAGAGGCTCAGCCCATGGTTTTCTTTTGGATCACCACGTCCTCCTGCCTCCTCTGGCCCTGAAAGCTCTGATGGAGTTGGGGGCCTCCTCTCCCACTCCTCCCCCCACCTAGACCTCCTGTTAGGGGCCTCTGACTCCATCACCAGCTCCCACCCTGCCTCGCCCAGGGTCTGTCCAAGCTTTGACCTTCCATCTCCAGTTTCCTGCTGTGACCAGCTAACCGCCTGAAGGGTGCCCAAGGAAACCGGCATCTGCTGCCTGCCCTGGCCCAGCCTGGCCAGGCCGTGTGTGGGGACCAGGGCTCGGGTTACTGAGTAACTTGGGGCTGCTCGGAGCTGCTCTTTATCAGGGTCACCTCCCCACTACTTCCTGCTCTCTGGGCTCAGGAATCCCCAACACCACTTGGCTCCTTTGGCTCCACTGAGCTATCGCCAGTGTTACGGGGAAAAAAAGAGAAAAGTAGTAAAGCACCAGTGTCATTGAGACAGTTGTCATTCATTCATTCATTTATTCTGCATTTTTCTGGATGACCTTAGCAAGTCTGAGCCCTCTTTGAGTCTGCTTCCTCATTTAGAGGAGGAATACTATTCCCTTTGTGGGATTGTTATGACTACTGCAGATAATTGATAGCGAGTGCTGGCATTTTCACATGCATTCAACAGAGGTGATGATTTTTACTGTTCTGACTGGCTAAGCAGACAGGATGGTGGCCGGCTGGGCACACGATGGGCTCCCGCCTCTGAGGATGGACAGATGGAGGGGCAGACAGTCTCAGTGCGTCCTCCCATTATTGGCTGGAAGGGTTGAGCAGCAGGGGCCAGGGGCTCAGGCTAGCACATTCAGGAAGGGCCATCAGGCCAGCAGCCCCAGGGATATGGCAACTCGTGAACAGAGGAGATTGGGAAAGACAGAGCCTCCCTCATTCAACAACTAGATATTGAGCACCTACTGTGTGCCAGGCACTGTGCCAGGTGCTGGAAATCCAATGGGACAAGATCAAGCCCCAGCCGTGGGCAGGGGCTCCATCTGGGGGAATGTAAGTGAGTAGGCAGAGGACCACATTGGGGGAGATGGGTCCTGTGGGGTCTTACCCCTCGATGGGGGTGGTCAGGGAAGGTTTCTCAGAGGAAGTGGTGCTGGCATTGAGACCTGGCCTAATTTCACAACTGGTGAGGAGGGGGATTCCTTTTCGTCTGACAAGGCCAGGAGGGGGTTCAAGGCATGCTGGGCTTCTAGGAACAGGTCGCACGGAGGTGACTGCAGTCACAGGGAAAGTGCTCAAGAAGCCACATGCCCACGCGCCTTCTCTTCTCTAAATGTCCCAAGGATTCCGCCACCGCCGCTGAGCCAACCCCACCACATTGCACCCTGGACAAGCAGACGGCCGCCCCACGTCCTTCCACTTCCCCCTGCCAGGAGCCACTGTGCAGGCATCCCAGAATTGGCCCCTGGTCCCCTCCCTGCCTCCCCCAAATGCAAGGGACACTTTTTGATGAACACCTGTTTTCTCTGGAAAGGGAGCCACTGAGCATGTCCTTCATATCAGACCGGGGACAGAGGGTTTGTGAAGGATGGAAGCCCATCTCCTCTGCCTAGGGTCTGGGGAGGGACCCGCACGCAGGGCAGGAGTGACATGGTCTTTAGGCTCTGAACAGCTCAGGATGCAGAAAGGGACGGGACTGGGCTATGGGCACAGGAGGACTTGGCTCCCTCTAGTGCCCGTCTGGAGACATGGCCTGTCTGCTCCGGGTCTCCCTCTGTGGCCTTGCCAGGACTTGAGACGCAGGACAGCCTGGAGCTCAGTGCTGTGAAGCACGCGCCCGCCCATCCATGCAGCTCTTCATTTCACAGCCATTTATTGAGCCATGCGTTGCAAGGTCGGGCGGGCCCTGCTTTCAACCCCGAGGACATAGCAGTGGTGAGAGGGAAGTTTAAAGAAGCAAAGCTGAGTGAAGGACAGAGTGGCAGGGCTGCTGTTCGACTGGATTGCTAGAGAGATGGTAAGGAAGTGGGGGTGGGGACGTCGGGCCCCAAACCACAGGGGACAGCTGTGCCCTGCCTGCGCCAACTGGGAGGGCTGTCTGACCAGAGTGAGGTGAGCGCACACACGACTGGGAGGGAGTTTGGGCTTTACTCTAAGGATTATGGGAGCAAGTAAGGGGTCAAGAGCAGAGGAATGATGTCTGATTATTTCAGAGGATCCTCTGGCTGTCTGGGGAGCATGGACTGCAGGGCTAAGTGGAAGCAGGTGGCCAGTGGAGGGGCTGCTGGGACAATCCAGGCAAGAGCGGTGATGGGTGACAGTGGAGAAGGCAGGAAGCAGTCAGGTTCTGGCTGGACTCGGAAGGGAGAGCCGAGTGGGCTTACTGAAGGGCTGGATCTAGGGTAAGAGAAAGGAGATGTGATGGACGGAACTGTGTCCCCTCACATTCGTGTGTTGAAGCCCCAACCCCCAGTGGGACGGTCTTTGGAAATGGGCCTTTCGGGGGGTGATGAGGGTTAGAATGAGGTCATGAGGGTGGGGCCTTCATGGCGGGATAAGTGCCCTTGTAAGAAGAGACACCACAGAGCTTCCTGTCTTTCTCCACCACATGAGGACACAGTGAGAAGGTGGCCATCTGCAAGCCAGGAAGAGAGAGCTGGGGCAGTAGATGGAGGGGGATGAGGGGACCGGGGAATTCCTTCTTTTTTTAATAATAGGAGATGCTCAGTGAATGCTTGTGGAATGAATGAATGAATGAATGAATGAAGCAAGTGGAGGGAATGCCCAGCTGTACGGCCAGGTCCCCTGTCCTCCTGTGAGCAGTGTCCCTCTGACCGCCACTCCTACAGATGCTAGGAGCCCGCTGGTGGTCAAGGCACTGCCAGAGCCACACGCCACTTCCCCACCTGTCCCACCTCTGGCTCCAAACAGTGAAAGGAAGGTGCTTGGGCTCCTCCATTCCTGAACACGTTTTCCTCTCACAGTCCCTCAGCCTTTCCAGTTCCAGCCAGGGACAGCGGCGTGACACCCCCTCTTCCTCTCTCACAGCTCTGCTCTCTCCCCCCTCATCCCCAAGGTGATCGTCTCCTGTTTGGGGGCTTTCAATAGCGTCAGTGCACAGATGTCGACCACATTTCTGTCTCCTCCCCAGGCCTCCCCACTGAATTCAAGTCATGTATGTGTATGTAACTGCCTGGAGGACATTTCCTCTTAGATAACTAATGGGCATCGCAAACCCAACACAGTCCAAACCGAGGTTCCGCATCCCGCCCCGACCTCTGCCTCCCCCAGGCTTCTGCATCTCATAAATGAAGACTCGATTATTCCAGGTGGTCAGCTCAAAAATCGGAGTCATCCTTGACTTGTCCTTCTCTCACATATCATATCCATCCATTGCTGAATCCTGAGAGCCATACCTTCAAAATATACTCAGACCCCAAACAGTTGTCACCACCTCCATGGCTGCCACCTTGGTCCCAGCCAATGTGTAAGAGGAAGCGGTGACCTAAGGTGGCTCAAATGGCTAAGCCAACCTCAGCCGTGCTCCTCTCAAATACTGAGAAACTTTCGGCTAGACTTGGCTCCTCACTGAAGCGAAACTGAGTTCCCAGTTAGAAACTTCCGGATGCTGTCTCTCTCGCTCTATGTTTCAGGCTCAAAACCGCTCCTTCTCTGCGATATAGCTCAGATTTACTGGTCTTCATTTCCAAACCCTCTGTCCAGACCATGGTGGTTTCACATCGGGTTATTGTGATTAATTTATACAGGTCTCTCAACTTCCATCCTCCCTCCACCCAAAATGCGTTGCCCATGGTGTTTCTACCATCCTCTGCGTGCCTGGACGCTCTCGGGAAGCTTTCTATGGCTCTCCAGGGCTTCAAATAAAATCAGAGCCTTTAATGGCTGCTGTCAGAACAGTTCCCCGGAGAAAGCTGCCTCGTCTGTTGTCAGTTGCTTTACATTGTACCCTATTCTGGGGGGTGGATGGGGAACTCCTTCTCCTAGTTTCTGATGTCTTATTCTCCTACCTCTAGGTCTTCGTTCAAGCTTCCCAACCGACATGAAGCTACCTTACTTCATCTATCCATGCCACGCAATCCTGCCCGCTCATCAGGTGGCATCATAAAGCCGCTTCCTCCAGCAAGGGTCCAGGGTTGGTCCAGTTATACCCATAACCTCTATTTCTCACCCTCCATTACTGTACTCCCGTAATGTGCTGCCCTAGAGTACCGCGAAGTTTTGCAATGAATTCTCTGTCCCATCCGCCTTATCAGACAGCAAATTCCCCTGAGCTGTCTCGCCTGTAACGTGGCTCTCCAGGTGCCTTGTACAGTGTTCCGCACTCAGTGGGCTCTTCCTATGATCTTGTGACCTAACCAACCCTATGTCGGATATCCACGCCCAGGTTCCCCCGAGGGTAACCAGGAAGAACGAGGGAAGGAACATACACAGTAACTTGGTTCCACGCTTCATTGACTGAGCCGGGGCAGCTGAGGCGCAGCAGCCCACGAGATCAGGCTGGGAGTGAAGAGTCCTTGCTTTCCCTCGCAGGACCCAGTCCTGTCATGGATGCTTGTAAATGTTCCAGAATGGCCATCTGTTTCTGGGCGAGCTGGGTCTGGAGCAGGAGGTTGGCGTACATACATTCCAGGAGTCCTAGGCATTCCTGAGGCCTGTGGCCAGCTCCTGAGGGAGGGGCAGTGCAGGGGCGAAGGGGGCAAGAGAGAGACGTGACCGTGGGAGGGGCGCCAACAAGATGGCGCCTCTAACCTTTCCAGGCACATCTCAGCCCAGACACACCTTTGCTCAGCTGGCGCCTTGTCAGTGAGGCCTGCCTGGCCGCCCGATTTTAACTGGAAATCAATCTCTGCAACTTATGACCCTTCTGTATTTACTGCCTTTGCTGTACATTCCCCACAGTACTTATGATCACATGGCATATTTTGTAATTACGCATTTAATAGTTGTCTAAGTCCCCCTTCTGGAATGTAGGCGCCAGGAAGGCAGGCAGTCGGTCTCGTTTGTTCACTGTGGTGTCCCCAGCACCTGGACAAGTGCCTGGCAGGTAAATAGTCAGTAAATACTTGATTAGTGGATGAAAATGGTCAGGAGGTGAGGCCTACCTTCCCTTTCACGAGCTCAGGGGGTGCTCTGCCTTCTTCTCGTACCTGACATAGTGTCTCATTAGCAGTGCCCTGAAGTTCTTCCTGCTGTCTAACCTCATTTACTCTAACCTGCGTCAGCCCATTTTCCCCCTAATGCTTTCAGCTACACGGCAGCCAGCTCTTCGTTCATCTTGGTAGTCACGTCACCTATCGTTTATTTATTGGTCTCGACCTCTTTGTTAAACTCTGAGGTCCTCAGAAGCAGGGGTCGGGATGTCTTGTGCCCTGTTAGACTGCCCACAGGTATGCTGAATACCCACAGGCTTCCCCATGGGGAAGTGGGAGAAGGGATAAGAGACATTTAAAGAAACGGAGGGCCGGCCGAGTGGCACGTTGGTTAAGAACTGGCTTGGGACGCCAGAGGGCCCTGGTTCGGATCCCACATATGAGGGCCAGTGACACTGCC